TACAGCTTGAAGAAGAATACGCACACGTATTTCTACACCAGCTTTGTGGCCTACATCTTTGGGCTGGGCCTGACCATATTCATCATGCACATCTTCAAGCACGCCCAGGTGAGCTCCGCCGGGCTGCCTTGCGCGGATGCACGTCCCAAGCGGGACATGCCAGCTTGGCCATGAGATTCTTGCATCATGCCAGGAAAAAGTAGATGCGTTCCTGTTCTTGCCTTTGCTTTTCCAGTCCCTGCCTGTACCTCTCCCTGTCTAAAGCTTGTGTGCCTGGCTGGAGCTAAGCCCTGTTTGGGGCAAGGCCGGTTCAGGCAGCTGTGTTCCGAAGAATTGCCCTGTGTTTGTGGCTCTTTGCAACCAAGCTGACCATGAAGACCCACCCTCTGTGCCGCAAAGGGGCCCTGGGAGCCCACGTGCCGTGGGTGCTGTCTGTGGTCTGCGTGGGGGCCCTCAGTGTGTTCGTGGCCCACTGGGACCTCACAGTGAGGGTTTTGTGCTGCTGCAGCTGTAACTTGGCTCTAGAGGCCCCTTTCTGGAGCATTTGTGCAGCACTGTGACAGACAAAATGGGCGCAGAGGGGACAGGGCCAGCTTGCCTCACGCTCCTCCCAAGGAGTGATTTGTGGTTTGGCTTACCAGTTGTTTTTCTTCCCAACAGCCTGCTCTTCTGTACCTGGTCCCCGCATGCATCGGATTCCCGCTTCTTGTGGCCTTGGCAAAGGGAGAAGTAACTGAAATGTTCAGGTGAGCGTCAGCTGGGGATGGAGCTGTTTTGCCTGCGGCGCTGGAGCACGTGAAGCGTGCAGATGTTCCCACGCCTGGGCACAGCTGGAGGGACGGGTTCATCTGGGCACGCTCTGGGTGTGCGCGTGCATGTGCGTGGGTGGAGGGAGTGGGTCTGTGTTCATACACGCCGGCCCTGGCTCCAGCCACCTCCTTGTAGCCGGGTGGGAGCTTTGCTGCGATACCAACAGGCAGGCAGCATCTGGTATTGCTTTACGCCCCGGTGACAAACTCTTCCCGTGTGCTGGCAGGCAGGGGAGGGTGGGACCGCACACCTGGTGCTGAGATACTTGGTCATTGTGTCCCAGGGCCTGTGGGTGGGGGAGAACGGAGCCGGATCCAGCTGCGAGAGCAGCCAGGGCTGGTTCTAGCACATCCCAGCCCCCTCGCTCAGTAAAGGATCCTGGTTTGCAGCCGTCTCCCCTGCCCAGGGGACTGTAGGTGCAGTGAAAGGGGGCTGTGCTGTGCTGTTGTGCTCCAGCCCTTCTCTTGGCCTGCCACGCTCCAGGCATTTGCCTGTGCACTGTCAGTGGGCGGCTTTGGTCTCCTGCCTGGACTGTCCCCTCTTCTGAACCGCGTGGTGCATGGCCTGGCCCGCCTGGGAGCTGTTTCTCCGCTGTGCTCGGCCGGTTGTGCTCGAGGCTCGGTGGTGGCCCAGCACAGTTGCTTGTTTGAGGACGACTGAAGCAGATGAGGGAAGGGAACATCTGTCCCAATGCAGGGCTGTGCACACCCCCAGCCTCCCCGCCCTCGGGCTGGCCCTGCCTC